CCATCGCTACTAGGAGCAAAGGGCATCGCTACTAGGGGCTCCTGGCCTTACTACTTAGGTGTTGGTGTCCTTGTTTCTCGTCTTTTGTTCTTTTGTTTCAGAGGGAGCAAGCCGTTCAGGAAGATAGCAGGGCTTCTTCAAGGAAGCTCCCGCTTCCTCAGGCTTTCCTACGTCGGGTAGCTCGTAGCTTCCTTTAGGCTTGCTTGCTACTTACCTACTCCTACTTATTAAGCTACCACCTCTTGCTGGCCTACCCCCAAAAAAAATGGAGGAAAAGGATCCAGGAACCGTCCTTCCGACAAAATATTTAAGAAGAATGTTCTATTATGTTCTATTACAATTTTATCCAGCCCAGCTTGTTTCAACAAAATCTCGAAATAGGAATTGAGATTCTCTCCTTCGACCTCTTGTTCCCTCCTTTCACTTTAGACAATGTCCCGAGGTGACACCTTGAATCTCCAGCTTCCTGTTCGCGATCCAAAGCAGCTCCTCTCTTCGATTCCGCTGCTTGGTTCGAGCTAATAAAGAGCGCGCTTTTAGCTTCAATCTACTATACTTCAGACAGGCTAAGTTCCGATCGAACTTGTGGAAGGACGCGGCACTGACCAACACTTGCAGTTGGCTCAAGGAAGGAAGAGCCAAAAAGGCTCCCAGTAGAATAGCGCAAGAGTTCGCACAGGGAAGAAATGCACAGCAAAAGGGACAAATTAGACATTGAAGACTCCGAAAGAAAATAGAAAAAAGGCTTTGTATGGCGCCTTGCTAACACCAGAGGTTATTTGCTCCTTCAACGACCAAAGACGTGGCAAACATGACCTTTAAAGGGCACTGGTGGGCGTCCCTACTTTGGGCGCTGGTGCGGCTTGCTGGAGGCCAAATCGATGGCCAATGCATCCAAGAAAGGAAAGCAAAGGAAGTGGATTTCAGCTGCAGAAGTTTGAGCAGCGAAACCAGCAGCCCCCGGTTTGAAATGATCACCCCCAACTCTGGCATGTTCAAGGATATGTTCGAGCTTCGTGTTTTGCTGCGGACGCAGATCTCTCCAGCGACCAACTGCACATCAGACCTAGTCGTTGATACCATCTTCGGATACAGGACCAACTATGTGTCTTTGCATCGGCATGCTCATGCAGACGAGCAAGGCCGAGAATGAAAAGGATTCAAAGGGAAGGATTTCAATGGCGTTCGTAATTCATGGAAGCGATGTGTCACTCATTTGCGTTTGTTGTGCCATGCCTGAAGAATCTAATTAACACTGAGTGGTGTCCTTCTTTGCTTGTAAACTAGAAGCTACTAGTAGCAAAGGGCATCGCTACTAGGAGCAAGAAGCTACTAGTAGCTCCTGGCCATACTACTGGGAACAAGGACGCTTTGGGTGCTGTCAGGCAAATGCCCCCAAGATCTTGATGTGGACGACGTGCTCTTTTGTATGATGGGTGCCGAAGCCAACCCCAATGTACGGATCGCATCGCTGGTCGCCACCAACTACGCTGCAACGGTGCATATGAACGCCAAGGTGCGGCCGATGCCCAAACAACACAAGTATCGATTCCATTTGCGCTATGGTGGCGGACGTGGTCGAGAAGCAGTGCATACCTTTCAAATTCCAGACATTTCCTCTATCGATTTGTGGCGTTTGAAGATGACTGCTCAGCATTCAAGCTCGAACCCCAAGGATTTTCCCACCTCGCGGGTCTTCATCTTCCCTGAATCTTCACCCTGCATTGCCAGTATCATCAACGATGGGGGATGTGTGGACGCCGTCTTGTTGCACACTTGCTTGAAGTCCGTCCATGTCTCTTTCAGGAGCCCTGATCCAGAAGAGAATGTGAAAGTGGCTTTGCACTTAACCTTCCAAACGCACGCACAATTGACTCTCAGCAGAGGTTCCATTCCTGCAATCCAAGCAGGCAACTGGGTGCTTTTTGCCACCTGTATGAACTTCGACAACTGTCCCGCAACGACTCTCCAAGTTGAGGCAGTGAGAGAGTCCAATCTTTGGTGGAAGTTGGCCGCAGGCGCTGGGATTGTCATCCTCGGAACCTTGATCGCCTTGCTCTCGGTGAACGCCATTTACGTTTTTGCTTATTCGCTTCTGAACTGGTGCCACGAGCACCATGACCGCCCTTCACACGAGAAAAACTTGTGGCCAGTGGTGATTGGTATGTGTGGCAGTGAGCATTGGCAAATGCTTTTGTGGAAACTCCAGGGAGTCAGACAACCGTTGCCGTTCTTCCCTACACTGCTCACGCTCATGCTGGGGGTCTTTTTTGGCAACGACGGCTCAGTTTGTGATGACGCACTATGGATTGATGACTCGGACAGGCAATCGAGACATTTGCTTCTACAATGAGATGTGTTACTACCCAGGGAAGTATTTGGATCTTCCATGGAACCATATTTTCTCAAACTTTGCATATGTGGTCGCTGCTTTCAACATTGTCTTACAAGCCTTTTTCGCAGAGACTCGTTGCTATTTCTTCTCTCGACGATCGATACAGGCTTTGTTCAATGACATGGATTTGAAAAGAAAAGGTTTTTTGACTCGTGACGATTGGAGAGAACTCTTCCTGAAAGCTGATCTTAGGGAGAATAACAACATTTCCAGGCAGGAGTGGGTCGAAGCTTGGCCCATTGTTTGTTCTTTTTTGTTTTCTTCGCCCGGGTAGGCCGAGGTAGCTGGTAGGGTAGCTTAACTAGGCGCGAGAGTTAGCTACTACCTTACTAGTACACTACTAGCTACTGGACGCAGGATAGCTCACGCTCGCACTAATGATTTGGTTCCTGGATTTTCAGGGAAACTTAAGCGAATAGTGATGGCCTCCACCTATCAGGACACCTACACCAATGCCACGGGCTTTGATTTCATCGACGAAAACAACGATGGTTTCTTGGAGCTTTGGGAATGGGAGGCGGCTTTCCGCCGCATTGACCAGGATCATCGGCAATCAATCAAGGAAGATGACATGGAGAAATTGGTCAGGGACATTGATTTGAGGGCTTTCTATGCCATTGGGGTGGCTTTCTTGGGGGAAGGAGTTGGAAGTATGTGCTATCATCTTTGCCCTTCAGTGGAAACATTTCAGTTCGATACGTGCTTCATGATTCCCATTGCAAATCTCTTTACCTTAGCCTTGGTGGACTGGGAGGAAGGCTCGGATTCGATCTCTGCTGTGAAGTACTTCGGCTACATCTTGACACCCATTTGGCTTGTGAACTTCATCGGCACCTGGTATGACATCCAGGTGTTTCCCATCGGAATTCTCTACTGGATCTACGCCTTTCGAGTCATTGCCTGGTTCGCGAGCTTGGTCTTCGGAGGGAGCATGAACCGGCTCTTTCCAGCGCCCGGCGCATGTGGGCATTTCGCCAAGACAATGCTTCAACTGTGCCTCATTATCGCCATTTCAGTCTCATTCCTGATACCTCAGTTGCGCGGACACATCTTCAGTGGCACTGCAAACCTGTTCTTGATGCTTTCAGTGCTGGTGATGATTTTCGTGGTGGGTCGGCAGCTTTACGTGAAAGACATCGCTTACATGAGCTGTTCCTTCCGGGAGGTCGGTGGGCGCCTCATTAAGAACAGCTATGCTGCCGTCCTGTGTGGCGTGGCCGTCATGGCGGTGATTTGCTTCGGGCAGAAGGTGGTGATCGTGGAGCCGAACACCACACCCGCTCAAAGTCATGATGTGAACCAAGAATGTGTCTTCGGAATCTTCGATTTACATGATGTATGGCATTTGTTATCGGCCTTAGCCTTGTCACTCTTCGCAATGCTTCTCCTAGATGTGAGGGTCAACTCTTGGGCGCGGAGGCTTGGCATCCGCATTTTGTTTGAGGATGCAATCAGGTCTGATAGCTCTGATGAGGGCAAGGACAGCTCGGGCGGGGAAGAACCCTGTTTCTAGGCCTTCCCGCCCTAGTTCACGGCAAATGCTGACCTATAATGGCCAACGCTTGGAAAAAGGGGAAGCCGATGCCATGCGAGGTCCCTGTGACACCGAAACGTGACACCAAACCCGGAAGACGAGCTGTGCCCAGGATGCGGCTGCTCAAGATGAAGGACTCCAAAGACGCCCGTTCGGAGAGACATCCCTTGGAATCGGTCGCCAGCGAAGGCGCCACGGCGTGAAAGACGGGAAGTTCTAAAACAATAGGAGAGTACGGAGAGTACAGTTGAAAAAGGGGTAAAGGAATAGACAAATGTAGGCTAGTAGATGTTGGTAGGCGACTTCTGCTTGATTCAACTTGTTGGAGGTATGGTTTGGCGGTGGATGCCTTATTCACCTGGCGGTCCGCCCTTGCACTCGCCTGGGGAGTTCTCCGTGCCAATCGATCAAGGCAATCACTGGGCGATATTGGCACCGGCAAAGCATCACGAACACTTCCTTATTACTTTTGGACCTTTCATTTTTTTGTGTGTCGTTTCTTCCTTCCTTTGTAAACAAGGCCATTGTTAAGTCAATGTAACCAGGCATGCCCATGCCTCATAAGGCCAACTGAGACCGCGACCATATACCTAAACTCATGACAGACATGTGTCCGCTCCCAGCGATACTTTAGGCTTGCGCGTGCCTTTCTAGTGAAATTATGTTAGAAGGCTTGATGCTTTTGCATGTGTTCGGCGTCGGTGTTTCAAGAAGAGAACAAGAAAGGGACAAGCTTGTTGAGCCAGTCGAGGCGAAGTGGATGCCATTTTGGATGCTGCCGAGCATGGTCGAGCTGTTCCTGTCTTCACCCAGCAGTCCACGAAGGTCACGAAGAAGTCCACGGACTTTTTGGCCAAGAAGGACCGATCACATCGAGCCTTCCAGAGTTCCACTGCATTTCTGCTCCTTCGAGCTTGTTTGCCGTTTGGCAAATTTGAAAGACTTGAGGATGAAGGAAATGCATTCTTCAAGGCTGGTGACTTTGTCAAGGCCTGTTCGGCACAATCAGCACAGTTGGATTCTGAATTCCGGTTTTCTTGGGATTCTTCAAAAGCCTCAAGACCTTGAACAGACTTAAAATCGACAGGAAAAGATAAAAAACAACAAATTCTTCAATAAACAGCCAAAGAAAGGAAAGCCCAAAGTTTTGCTTTTCACTTCGAGGCCATTGCTGCCTACGACGCCGCTTTGGCGGAAGATGCGGCTCCTGCGGACGCTGCCGTGGCGCACAGCAATGCAGCTCAGGTCTGTAGCAAAAAGCACGACACCTCGTTCTTTTGTTGTACAAATAAGAGATATGAAAGGAAAGCTAAATAGACGCATCGGATCTTGATCTAAACCAGTCTGTTTCTTTCAACAATATCTTAGCTTCCCGTTTCCTCAAACTGACTCACTGGTCCTTTCCTTGTGACCAATGAAGGATCGGACCGGGTCCAATGCGTGCTTCGAAACTTTTCCACCTTCAAGATCAGCATGCCCAAGAATAGATTCGGTCAAGCTGCGATAGGCCGAAGCTGATATTCATCAGAAGGAGAACAAAGCCAAATTGTTCGTGTCCAATCTTTCGCCTTTGGACATGCTCGGCCTCACTCTTTCTGGACCAAAACGATACTTAAAAAGCAAGTGACCGGGTGGGCTTCTTCTTTTTCCAGGATGATGAACCAGGACATGTGTTGGTTATCGCCACTGGCAATTTGGTAATCTTAAACTTTGTGTCACACATGTTGCTGTGATGCACCTACAAGTGCCTTACTAGTAGTAACAAGAAGCTATTAATTTTATACTGATTCTAATAGCTTTTTGTTACTACTAGTAAGGCACCTGTTACTACTAGCGTGGCACTTGTTACTAGAATTGTCAGTATGTGAAGCATATGGTTGTCTTAAGTAGTAACAAGTG